CAGGGCCCTGTCTTCAGCCTGGCCCCAGCGCTGGCTGGTTGGGGCCCTTTGGGAAGTATGCCAGCTGATGGCTTGCTATCTCCTTTCTCTCTGCTACTTTACCTTTTGAATAAATGAAATCCTAAAAAAATTAAAATTCCAGAACTTTGGATGACCAAACATTTGCAGAAAAAGAACAAGTCAAGGTGATCAACAGCTTTTCTCATGAGGCCTCTGTGTGCCTCCCTAGCTGTGTATGCTGTGCCTTTGACCCTGCTCATGGGGTTCCACTTTGTGATGGCATCAGCCTCTACACCTTGTATGCTGTCTTTCCACTCTCATGTCTCCAAACTCCATCTACATCTCCCCTGATTTCTACTCACTTGGTGTTGGGGATATCTTTGATTCAGAAAGCCCACTTAACCCTCCATATATGACATTGAGCAGGAATTCAGAGGTAACCTATTGGTTCATTTGTTCCTGCAAGAGTGTGTTGCTTGAGGTAACAGCTGTCCTGTTCTATCCTGTATCCCTGGCACCTAACATAGGATGCCACACACAGAAAAAGTGTCCCCTGTCTGGCAGTGGGACAGCAGAGGCGATCCAAGAAACTGTCCAGGAATGCAGGGGGCTTTGTGATCCACCTGGAGTTCAAGGGTGTTCCAGCAGCATGGAGTACACCTGGGAAGAGGGCGGTGGTGGCTATGCTGGCCCACCAAGGGGAGGTGGGCCAAGGTGTCTAGAATTTCTGTGACATGCAGCAGACAATCACAAAGTGTCAGATTGTCCAAGCTAGACCAGGATGGACAGAGCAGGGGAGCCACTGGCTCTGTTTTCCAGAAATACAGGCTGGTGGGATGGGAACTTCCCAAGGCCACCCAGCTGGTAAGAGGAAGACCTAGAAGTTGGATTGGTTCTGAGCATCACCAAGTCCAGAGACCTTAGTGAATACCCAGACAACCCACAGACCTAGGGCTTCAGGGTTGTCTGGGAGTGAGCAGGCTGCTGCACCAGAGTAGGTTACATGGCAGACATGGCCCTGAAGTCCCATGGTGTGAGGCAACATACTTAGTTCCTCTTTGCATATGAGTTCACTCTGTCAGTGCACACCACTGTTAAGGTGGCAGGGCACTCCTCACAGCTTTGAATGTTCTACCTCAGTAGGTTTCCAAAGTCCCACAACTCCCAGAGAGCAAGGGACCAGAAGGGACACTCATATGACCACCTGCTGCAATCCCCTGGCCGCAAGTAGTTCAATCCTGCTTGACAAGCCAGGGAAACACAGCCTGCTGTGTCCGGGTAGGGGATGAGAATAGCAAGTACCTGGGCAATAGCAACTCCTACCTGTGACAGCATGGGTGATGCCTACAGGGAAATGTCCAGAAGAGACCAGGGCGGGGGGAAAGAGTTGTGTTCAAGATTTCAGCAGGGTTCTTGCCCTAGTGGACATGAGTACACTGGAGGGAACGTGATCCCTGGGGTACTCACCTGTAGCTGGCATCAGCATTATAAGGACAGATGCGACTCTTGCTCACCCGGCTGCTGGCAGGAGGCTGCAGTTCTGTGCCACATGGGTCTCTCTTTAGCTTTACTGAGGTATCCCATAACGAGCGCCTGCCTTTCCCCAGGGCAAATGAGGAAGACAGAAATCATGACTTGGCCCTGGAGGTTATTCTCCACCACTTCTTTTTTTTTATTGGTCACACGCAGCAACCATGAGTCACCGAGGGAGGGGACCAGGCAGGGCTAACTGGAGGACACCTCGGACATTTCCATTAGGAGCCTTGGTGGAAGCATTGCTTTGACCCTTCCAGTTCAGCTCGGCATCCCCTTGGGCTTGCTGAGAAATGAGGGGGAGTCCCGATGCCCTTTGGAGGGAGGCAGGACCAGGACAAGGTGGTTGCCTCAGCAGGCAGATGAAGAAAGGGAAGCCAAGACACATGAACATGCTGCACTGGCCTGGACAAGTGCAGCTGGCCCCACCTCACCCACATGGGGGCTTTGGCCATTTGTGGGCCTGTTGTAGCCAGACCTATCTCTACTCTTGCATATGGGCCCTCCACACCCCCATGTTTGCTTCTGTGGCAACCAGCGTAGGCCAGGTGCAGAGGGGTGACCAAACCCTGTCCTTGGTGAGTCATACCTGTCACGCACAGTGCAAGTTGAGTGGGGGCGCCAGGAGCCAGAGTAGGCCACCTGGAGCAGGGTGCTAGGTGGGGTCCCTTCAGAAAGTGTGAGGAGCACAAAGACAGGCTCCGTGGCACTGTTAAGGCCCTTGGGGAGCAGGGCAAGGGCAGGGTCTCCCGCAAGAGGGGTTGAGTGCTGTGAGCACCCAGACATGGTATCTGAGAGGGAGTCCACTGACAACCAGCACAGAGCCCCAGCCAGTCTTGGCCACAGGAAGGCTCTCTGTTGTGCTACATCTGGGCATCTAACAGTACATTGGCCAACAACCTGGTAGTTTCCCTCATGCTTCAGGATCCTACCTGCAGCTTGAACTGGACAAACCCCTCCTTGGTCCTCACAGGCTACCAGGAAGAGAAACTCACCTGGAAATTCCACCTAGGGGCCAGAGGTGGGCTCCCCCACAGGCAGGCATACATGGAGTGCATGCTTCTCTGCTGGCAAGGCTGTCCCACTGCTTCCTCCCCGGGCCCAGCCGCATGGAAGAAACCAAAGCCCAGGCCAAAGTATCAGAAACGTGTATTCTTTTTCTTTTAATAGTAAACCTCTTTACAACAAATATAGTGAAAGAGTTTTCAAACAAAACTCATAAGAATCTCGAGGACTTTGTCTTTTCTTAATTGTGTAGAATACTAAGAAAGCATCACCATACAGCACGAAAAGAAATATTGAAAACAAATCAACAGCCACACACGTGGACTTGCCCCTACCCGGGACCCAGGAAGAGCCCCAGGAGTGGGGGTGATTGTCGGGGGTGGGCCACCTCTGTGGCCTGTCCCACCCCTCCTGCCCTCTTCCCCCCACCCCCACCCCCCGCCCTCCTAAGACTTGCATGGGGAAGAGGAGAGAATCCAGATTCTCCCATGGAACATTCCAGCCCCCTCCCCCTGCCCCATCCCATACAAATCCCATTCCTTCTAGCAACTGTGAAGGGCGTGGGGAGAGGCAGGAGAGTGGAGGACAAGGAGTTCCCAGGCTCCCTGTCGCCTCCTCTCTGTGAAAAGCCTATGGTCACCCCAGCCCACCCCAGGGGATTCCAAAGAGTCAGTTAAAAATATATAGATATAGATATTTCTAGATACACTTTTACATCGCGTCTGTCTCTCCAAACAAATAAATAATCAGCAAGAGAAGGTGCATCACTTCCTTCCTGTCCAAAGTGGGGAGGGCTGGGTGGGGTCGTGGCAGTCTCTCGGCACTGAGTGCACTGCTGGGTAAGGGGAAGTGGGGTGTTCCACTGAGGTGGTGGTGGGGAGATCCTCTTGCTCTCTGTCCCTGAAGCTGTGGGAAACCTGGGGAGGGAGGGGCATTAGACGACTCCAGTGGTTACTTTGGCAAATGCCCCGTTCTTCTGAGGGAGTGGGTGGAGGCAAATTTGGCTTGTGAGAGGAAGGACAAATTAAGTCTCCAGTCGAGGCTGGGTTCATCTGGCCTGCCAGGAGCCCCTAACCCCCCTAACCTCCATCTCCACCCTAGAAACCTTGGGATACTGAATTGCAGAAACATTACGTATTCATTCACAGACTACCCTCTCCTCAAGGGACAGAAAAGGACACACACACACACACACATACACATTCTCAACATGGTCATCTAAAGCCAGGTTTGCCTTAGGAGGCAGAGGGCAAAACTGGTAAATATTGCACCATGAACTGCAGGGGCCTCAGCCCCACCCCATGTTTAAAGATGGCCCAGCTCAGCCTGGAAAGGTGAGCAAACTCGTGGTGGGAACAGCCTGAGAAGCAAAGGCCAGCTGTTCGATGCTTATTGAGAACCTGTTATTCACCCACTCTCACCATTCAGGATTTTTTGGTGTGCTTACTATGTGCCAGGCCCTGCGGATGCATATGTGCACAAGATTCCACCCTGGCTTCCTCAGGGGCCTGAGCAAATCTTGTCAGTTCCTGCCACTCCCTGGGCAAGCCTTGCAGGAGTGGGCTTGGGTGCTGGATGGGCTGGGTCCTTGCTTGGTGAGCAGGTGGTGGTGGTGGAGGTTGGTGGGAGGGGTGGTTTGCCATGAGTGAGGAAAAGCTCAGGGAGGACCAGGGACTTGGGGGTTCCACTCTGCAAGCAGGATGAGGTTGGGGTGGGAGAGTAGGGATTCCTCTAGGAATGGGCACACCGTGCCAGGGTGGGAGGCAGGTAGCAGGCACCTGGATGTGGAGGTCAAGGCTCCTGGAGGAGCCCACCACTGCCCCCAACCCCACGGAGGTAGGCTGCAGGGTGAAGCAAAGAGGGCTCTGCCAACCCCTGTCCCTGCAGTCTCACTGGCATCTGAGCTGAGGGCAGGGTGGCTGAAGGAGCAGGAAGGAGCAAGTCAGGGTGGCTGAGCCAGGGGGTGGGGACAGCCTCTGTCCCTTTGTAAACACACAGCAGCCACACACAGTGGGGCTCAGGACACACAGAGGGACGGCCCTGCTAAAGCACACATGCACACACAGACATAAATACAAAGGACACTCAGACACATAAATACCAGACGCCCCCCTGAATCTGTTCAGGGCCGGCCGGCGTGGTCACACACATCCATCTGCGTCGCTTCCTTCCCTGTGCCAAGTGTCAGAATACTGTGCAAGGCCAGGTCATGGAGGACGGTCGTCTAACACACACACTAGGCCTTGTTGTTCTACTCACCAACTGGGAGGATGCCCGAGGAAGTGCTGTACCCTAAGGGAGAGCACTGGGCTTGCATGGAGGAATCCGGCCCCACATCTGCGTGCCTGTCCCTTTGCTCCAGGCCCGGCCCCTTGGGGCCTGCCCCCTCTAGTTTGATCTCTGATGCGGCCCCCTGCCCCCACTGAGGAGGCAGCAGGAGGGGAACAGATTTGGTGTGGGGGGTGTTGAGGAGCAAGAACAACAGCAGATCTTCTCTGGACAGTACGGGCCATTTGAGTCGTTATTATTACAATATACTGTGACAAAAATAGATTCTCATTTCATATCAGTACAACAACAACAGTTTCCTGGACTGGTACACCGCTAACATTTTCCAAAGGTCGCTATTTACAATTACAGTAGCCAAGAGGGAAGGTGGGACACGGCCTGGAGGTGGTGGGACAAGGAGGTAGCGAGACGACCGAGGGGGGGTGAGGGTGCCAAGAGCAGGGATCAGGAGCAGAAGGAACTTGTAGGAAGGGCCCAGGAGAGGGTGGCGGAGGAGCTAGGGTGGTGGCCCCCCCTTTCTTGGATGGGCCCCATTTGTAGGGACCTGGAGCTGCTGAAGTCCACCCTGGCACATCAAGTCCCCTCCCTGCACTTGTCCCATGGAAGGGCTCCAGCCTTCCAATGCCACAAGACCTGTTCCAACGCCATCCCCAGCCCCCTCACTCAAGTTCTTCTCCCCGATTCTCCCTGCACGTTGAGGCCAACTTCACTGGGCCGCTGGCATCCAGTGAGGGCCGGGGAGCTATTGCACTGTATTATCTTAAGAGAAAAGCTGGGGGAGGGAGGGTCCAGCTCATATCTGGCCTAGCCCTTCTACAACAACCCCTTTCCCCCACTCCCAGCCCTCTCCTCATGGCTCTCTCTCTCTCCAAATGTGCTTCCAGACAGGCCCCACTGCAACCCTGGCTACCCTGCCCTCTAGCCTTGGACTCCCAGGCAGGTAGCAGTCCTCACCCAGAAGCTCAGCCAGTACCTACACCCCATGGAGAGGCGGCACACACCAGGGTCAGCAAGCATGTCCTGTGTGTGTGCCCACAGGCCCGGGCACTCTGCCCCACTATGCCTGGAGTCAGAGGAATACCCAGGACCAGAGATCCTGTTCAGAACCTGTGCCTCGCGTTCCCCCTTGAAACACAAACCTACTCATCAGGTCAACTTTGGGATTTCTGTCTATTGTGTAGGATTTTTGTTGTTGCTGTTGTTTGGTAATTTTTTGGTTATTTCCCTCTATCTGGGGGATGGGGTGGGAGGATCCCACATGCAGGGCTCGGCACCTGTCCTTTCCCAGAAGCCTACTGGGCCCCCACCCCCTTCCTGCAGCATATGTGTACAACGTGCAAAGTGTCCCCCCCTTCCCGCAAAAAAAGAGAGCCCCCAGCCAGTGAAAATGGTGGGAGGTGGAGATAAAGAGGGGATGACAGCATCCCCTCTCCAAAGCGAGAATCCAAATTAAAAAAAAAATATAATAATAATAATAATATAATAATAATTATACACAAATGTAACCGTCAACAGGACACGGAGCACAAGAAAGGAAGTGGGGGTCGAGCGGGAGGAGCCCAGGGTGGGGAGGGGTGGGCGGTGAGATTGTCAACTCTTCATCGGGGAGGCTGAGAGGAGGGGAGTGGGAACCATCACTTTAATGTCTGTGGAGAGAGGAGATGGAGAAGGGGCGTGAGGGGCTGGCCCAGGCTACAGGGACCCCCCACGCCCTCCTCTCCCCACAGGGCTGGCTGAGAAGGGAGAGAGCCGCTGAGCAGGAGGACTCCTGCTGGCTGGGAGGAGGGGCTGGTGGGAGCAGAGCTGGCCATAAGCCTTGAAGGGGGAGACTCAACAGGCTGGGGGCACTGGTGGGGAGAAACAACAGTCCCTGGGTGCAGCTGACACTGGCGGGCGGGAGGGGCGGCGCTACAGTACCCAGGTATCGAGCCGCATCCTCTTCACAGCTGAGCCCTCGGCTTCGGGCTCTGGGGCTGGGCGCAGTAGGCCCAGGGTGGGCCCGAAGTCCCCCCGGCCATCATCCCGGTCCCCCGTCTCGTAGGCTCCCCCGGCCGGGCTGCTGAGGCCGTCGTCGGGCTCCGGGCGGGCAGCAGTGGGGAACACGGCTGGAGGGGGCGGCGCAGGGCTGCGCTCCCGGCTGGGGGAAACGGGTTCCGACTTGATGCTGATGTGGGGGTGGGTGGTGACCGTGAGGGCTGCACCCACATGGGGCAGGGGGCTGCCCGGGCTGAAGGTGGGCGATAGGGCGGGAGGCCACACAATGGAGGGTGAGAGAGCAGGCAGTGAGAATATGGAGGAGGGGAACATGGGGGACCAGAAGCCGGCAGGTGGGGGGTGTAGGGTGGGTCAAAGGAAAGGGAGGGAAAAGAAACAGGAATGTCAGTTCGCTCCTAGCTCAGGTCACCCTCTGCGGTCCAGGGCCCCGACCCTGGGTGGCTGCTGAGCACAGACCACCCTCAAGGACACCCAAGCTCTCCAGGGGACCACCGCGCTTCCATCCCTGACACCCACGTGCTGTACAAGCACTCACATGAGGTTGCTGAGCGACACGGGGACCAGATGGGACTGCTGCTGAGGTGGCTGTGGTGGCTGCTGAGGCGGCTGTGGCTGCGGTGGCTGTGGAGGCTGTGGCTGCGGCTGTGGTGGCTGCTGTGGTTGTGGTGGCTGGGGCTGCTGCCAGGCCGTGACGTTACCTAGCGATAGCCCCCCAGGCGAACTGAAGGCTGGTAAGGAGGAGAGCTCTGCACTGGTCAACTGGTAATCTGCGAGGAGAAAGAGAGGATGAACATCCCTGATATGAGGGTAGGGCAGTGTCTGGGCACGAGGAATTCAAGTACACTGCCTGACTTGGTGAAGACACAGAGGTAAAGGGTTGTTTCTTCCTCAATGGAATGAAGACAGAGGTGGCTTTTCAAGTGTTAAATTTTTAAAAGAAAAAGTCACACATAGCTATCACTTGTATGGTGACAATTTTTTTTTAAAGGGGGAGAAAGGAAGAGTAAAAGAGGTCAGCCATGAAGGCCTAACACATATCTGTCATCTCTCCACCTGCCAAGTCTCCAGCTGCCTTTCTGAAGTGATGAGGAGCCGTGGTAAATGCCAGGCCCACAGTGCCTCGGGAGCAAACTGCTCAGAGCCACACTGTCTGCGGCATAGCTCCCAGGCTGCCTATAGACCAACAACACATAAAACAGGTAGTAGCCCATGTCTGCCACCCAGTCCTACACAAGGGGCTCCACACTGGGAGCACACAGGCCAATGTCCTGACAGACCTGCCTGGTGCTCATGTTTCTAGAAAGTTCATCTCAAGGAAGAAAAGACCATGTCTGTGCCATCACAGAGAAACAGACTCATGGGACACCTCACAGCTCAAAGGGCATCCATTGCGTGATGCCTCACACTGCACAGGAGGGCAGGCTTGGTGGGAGGTGTCCCCCAGGCAACCCAGAAGACGCTGCTGAGATGCTGTGCCCTGGAGGGGGATCATTTGCTGCAGCCCTCTGTGTGGAAGAAAGCTGGTATTACAGAGCAGGAAGATTACAGTGACCGACCAGGTCAAACTTCCTGGCTCCCTCTACTTAGAGGCCGTATGACCTTGGGCAAGTGCTTACTCTCTGCCTGTAAAATGGAGGCAGTAATCCTCCCTTGGGTGCACACATGTCTGCAAGAGCATGCAGGACAGTGCTGGGCTGAGCCTGCCTGGTTCAGGTTACCACTCTGCAGGCCAGGTCTCAGGGGTGTGCCCCAGGCTGGGGAGACAGCCAGTTGCACAGCTCAGACCAGACCCCAAGCTTATCATGTTGGCCAGGAGCTCCAAGATGCTTCAGCTTATGCTTCAAAAATGGAACTGAATGGGCCCCAGAACCTACTGTTCTTAGTACTGATTTCACAAACAACCAAGTCAAGCTCAGAACCTTGTAGTGGCTTCCCAAGGTCTCTCAGGAAATGAATGGACAAAGTTTCACTCTCAGCCCTTCCTCCTATTCTCTGCCCCTAGGCCCCTCAGCAGCCCCCTGGGTGGGACTCGCAGAGCAACCACAGGCAGACCTCAGCCAATGTGTCCACAAGCAGCTAGGCCTAGCACTCAGCTGAGACATTCCCACAGCTGATCAACCCCAGCCGGAACTTGAACCAGGGCCAGAGAGTGTAAACAGTGACCAACCAAAGAGCAATGTGTGTGTGTTCGCTGATGTTTTGTTTATGCACCCAGAGTCACCTGCAAACACCTGCTATCTAAGCTGAGGTCCCTCAGCAACTCAGGAAACAGGAGGAACTGGTGCCTGGGAGGATGTGAGAAATCCCCGCCAACCTCCTCATGGGGCTTCACACCCCAGTGGGTGGTGAGGGGCAGGGGCAGAAATTGCTCTTGCAGAGCAGAGCCTCCAAGTTTGGCCTTGCTGAACGCCCAGTTCATTGACAACTAATTTCCCTCCTTCAGGAAACCACCACTGTGGGGCACTCTAGCAGATCACTGTTCCAGAAAAGTACAGCCTCGCCCCAGCCCCCTCCTCCAAAAGATCCTCCGAGACCTCCTGCCCTTCCCCCGACTCCTCTGACAGAACAGAACCAACTCCCAGATGCAGTTTCTGAGGCAGTCCTTCCTGGGCCACAAGGACATCACACCTGTGGTGGGGCCACGCTTGGGTACACACACCACAGGGCTTGCAGCAACCTGGGCCGTAAAATCTATACAAATGCCACGATCTGGTCCTACCACACAAGTGGTCCTCTGGCACTCAAGCTGCCACAGCCCACTGTGTTACAGGCACCTGCCCAGGGGCTGTGCCCCGTGGGGGCAAACAAGGCCCTGGGGACGCTCGGGGGTTTTGTTTCTGGTTTATTCAGTGTTCCTCACAGGTGAAACCTTAACACAATCATTCACATGCCATGTACTCATGAATGCCTGGGGGCAGGCAGTGGTCTTTACAGTTGGCAACAGCCCAGCTCCCAGGCCACACGGGGCCAGAGACAGGGGACAAGCCGTCTCCCAGCAAGCTGGAGTGCAGAAGGAAGGCCAGAGCATCACAGACTGTTCCCATATGCAATGAGTGGGCGATACAGGCCAGGACAGCCCTGGGGGACACAGGGCTCTTGCAGTCTTGTCTGAGTTCTTCTGCCTGGAGGCTCTTCCTGGGCCCGTGAGTGACTCAGCATCCTCCTTCCTCTTGTACTCCTAGGTTGACTGCCAAGCCCACACCAGACCCCTTTGTTAATCCTCTATCTGGAACTAGAGTCCCCTGACCCAGATTCTGGTTCACAACTGACCTCTCCACCGTCCAGGAAGTCCTTCTGAGCTGACTCTGTCCCCTTCCCAATCCCCACCCCAGTCTAGTGCATGGTGAGCCTCCCTGTCTACCCCTCAGACATGAGGCCTGCAAAGGGCAGGGCCTGCTCCCCTCACTAGAGCCAACATCAGGAAAGACAGGATGCCCAGGTAAATCTGAATTTCAGATGAAACAAAGCATAGTGTGCTAGCATAAGTGTGTTTAGGACACCCTTTATCAGAAGAATGCCTTTGTGATAAATCAAATTGGGGGTTGGCATTGTTGCATAGTGGGTAAAGCAACACGTGTGCTAACTGCAGTCTTGGCTGCTTCACTTCCAATTCAGATCCCTGCCAATGGCCTGGGAAGCAGTGGAGGGTAGCTTTAGTCCTTAGGACTTGCACCTGTGTGGGAGACCGGATGAAGCTCCTGACTTGGCCTCACACTGACCTAGCTCCGGCCACTGCAGCCATTTGGAGAGTGACCAGATGGAGGGCCTCTCTGTTTTTCCTTCTCTCTCTGCAATTCTGCCTTTCAAATATAAATAAATAAATCTTAAATTAAAAAAAATTTGTTTTATCTAAAATCTGAATTTAACTGAGCATTTAATGCTTTTATTTATTTAATCTGACAGTCATACTGAGGTGGGGCACCCCCAAATCAACAGTCTTCTTCAACAGGGTCCTCCCCAAGGGACACCATCTCTGGTCACTCTCCTGCCCCAAGCCCAAGTGCACACACATATGTAGAGTGACCACTTACCTGTGTTGTAGGCGGTGGGCATGGAAGAGAAAGGGAGGCCTTGGCTGAGTAAACTGGGTGTTGCCACAGAAACCACTGGGGTGGTTAGTGAATGGGTGGACTGGGAGACCCCAAGGCGCTGGGCATTGTTCTGTGGGAGAAAACTGTTTGTCAGGAGGTGGCAGGCAGGTGCACTGCTCATGCTGGCCCTCCACCCCAAGGTCAAACTGGCATATGCAATCCCAAGGTCAAGGCAAGACTGCCTTAGAAAAGAAGCCACTGAAGACACACAGAGACACACACACGAACACGCAGGGTGATGCATTCATGGGGAGAGAATGGTGCGCACACAGATTGACTCACATCGCCACATGTGCAAAGAGGAAGGCCTGGCTGCAGTCTCCTGGGGCAGAGGAGAGAACGGAGAGACCAGCCCCCCCACCAGCCACGGCACTGCGGGACACACCCGGCAGAAGCACGCTGGCGTCTGTGAAGGGAATGCGGGGCCTGGCGTGACGTGTGCCTGCGTGTATGCACACACGTGTGTGGGGCTGTCAGCTCCATCTGCCGCTGAGTCACTTGTTTATTCCAGCTCCACACTGGGGCGAAACTGCCGCCGTGTTGGCCGCCAAAGCCTGCGGGCCTTTTCCAGCCTTTTCTGGCCTCCTGTCAGGAAGCTGGGGAGGGAGGAGCCCCTGCCCCATTCCAGGCTGAGGTTGGGTGTGCCAGAGTGAGATGGGGGCTGAGGATGCCTCTGAGGGTCCCCAAGACTGGCTGAGGCTAGGGGAAAGCACAATAACACAGGAAGGCGGCAAAGTCCCCAAGGAGAAGGCCAACTTGGTTTGAGCCTCGGCTTCCCTTAGAAAACCAACTTCACTGTCCAGCTGGCATCACTCTTCTAAAAGAGGTTCCTGTCGTGGCTTCCAAGAACGCGGAGCGGGCCTGAGCAGGGTCAGGGGGCCCATGAGTTCTGCTCCCTCTGAGGCCAGGGGCTGGCCCCCTCCACCTTGCACACATGCATACTCACAGAAAGGGCTGTGTGAATGAAAGCAATATTACATAAAGCAACTCCCCCCGACACACACCACTACACACACATGCAAGTTTACCCCTTGCCCCTGCCCCATTCACCTCTGAATCCTACTCAGCACTGAACAGAGCTAAAGGTAAACAACCAAACCATACCCACTACACACAAAGGCCAGAGCACAGGGCACACACATCCATCATGCTGGGGGCTCCAGAGCAGCCAGCAGAGCCAGAGGCAGACATCTCACTCACGGCCTCACTTACCATGTCTAAATGGTCCTCAGTCTTGAGAGCAGAAACAAAACCAAAGGCAGGCCTCAGCCACTAGCCTCTGCCCACCCCAGCCCTTCCCACCCCACTCCCAGCCACCTTCTGGCTTAGGAATAGGATGGCACTCCCTGTGATGGACAGAGAGCGTCTTCCTAACCAACTTTTCCATCAGGTTGCAGCCCAGGCTACACCTCCAGAAAATCCTCTGCTTTCTTCCCCAGACCTCCAGCTGCTACGACAGAGCCTATTCCTCTGCATCAGATGCTGCCTTCCACCCATCTCCTGTCCTTTGGCTGCTGCTACTTCTGTGTTCCAACCTCAGGCAAAAAGGAACCCGTGCAAAGCCTCATCCCTGTGTTCCCTAAGGAAGTCCCACCTGCTAGCTAACCTCTGCCTCTCCCACCACAGGTCTGCCCATACCCCCTCCCCACTCTCCCAGTCCCTGATATACACCACGACTCACCAAGTGATGCATTAACCCCTTCCCTCCCTGGGAGGTGATGACCCGCAGGTCGGGCTTGCGGCTGGGGGCTCCGAGCTGGGTGCTGTGGGTGGGTGGGGGTGGAGACTTGGCAGGGATGACTTTGTTGAGGCTGTTGCCGTTGGCCACGGGTAGGAGGCCGGGGGATGCCCGAGCACTGACGTAGCCATTCCCTGGACAATTGCGGAGACAAAGGGAAGGAGAACATGGGCTTAGAGTCCTTAGAGCCGTCCACTTTCCACTTGCCCACTGGGTCACTTGGGACCTCTTGAACCTATGGCCAGACTGGGAATGGGCACTGCACTGCTATTCTTAAAGCTTTCCTTCTTGAAATGGAGCAGACCCCTCACTCCCAAATTGCTGGCTCTGTCTCCCTGCCTCCAACGTATCCATGATGGGATGCTTTGAGGCCAGTGGCAAGAACCAGAAAGCACACATGACCTCGGGCCCAGCGACAGTCATGAGGTCCTTCTATAGCCATGCTTCTGTGTGTGAATGTTTTCTCTTCTCTAGCATCCATGGGCAGCAGGTGCAGTAATCTCAGTTCCCAATGTCTGCCTGGGACAGGACCCACGAGGCCCACGTGGGGAAGGGGCAGCAGCCTGGAATTAGCCTCCCAGAGGTACCAGCTCCCTGGCCCCTGGGAGTGCTCTGTTGGCCACCAGCTGGGGAGGTGGTGGTCTGCAGGGCGTGGTGAGCTCAAACAGCCACCCACCACAAGCAGACAAGTAACAATGAGCAGGCAGCCACCTCCCACACTCGCCCCACAGGCCTCTTGCACCTGCGCTATCTCATTTAATCCTCACATTAACCTGGCCCAATAGCCCTGGGTGAGCCTGCCTGGGACAGGTGTAGTGACCTGTCCAGGGTTACACGGCTGGCTGGAGACCATGCTGGGGCTCTAACTTGCCTTTTTCTCACTGCATATCTGGGTCTTGATGCACCACTATTCTCACAAGGCCTGCAAGTGTTGCTTTGGGACTCTTGATGGAGCGCAAATGGGAGCGGATTCACCCATTCTCACAGGTTCCTGATCCTTGCACACAACTAGTGCCTCATAACTCAATGGCACCTCAGGCTACTCAGTGGATTCCAAGGGCTGAGGATGTGGAGACAGCTACAGTCAGCAATGCCACCTTGCTCTGTCCCCTAAGAGCACACGGCTGTCCTGTGTGTGGCTGCCTCCATCCCAACTGCTGGATCACTCTGAGAATGGCAGGAATGTCAGGGTGACGTCAATAATGACATTCACAGTCAGTCACCCAACTGGACAACAGCATAGGGCAGGAGGGGCTGTGAGCTGCCTGGGTGGGGAACGATGGTAGCTGCCCTTCTTCCGTGACTTGCATGGGTGTGCTTCTCAGAGCATGTGTGGTGTCTGAAGGATTCTGTCAGAGCAGAGACCACAGATGCACGCATGTGTGACCTGTGCTTATCACAATGCATGCAGCACTATGCATCCTCACCTCCCACTCCAATCTCAGCCGGGCACCCCTGGTTAGAAGCTCTCAGATCCTCTCTTCCAACTAGAAAGTCTGTTTCCCCAAATCCTCCAAGCCTGATTCTCCACTGCTCATCCATATCAATCACTGCCACAATAATGAGCTCCAGGGGCCTGAGGCTTTGACCCTAATCTAGGTCCTTCTGGGTCCTGGGCCCCTGAGGCTCCAGGGTGGGCCGCCGGTCCCCTTCCCCCCAGGTGGAAGGGCAGTAGCACTCACCAACAGGACTTGGGCAGGCTCCGTTAGCACTGGTGAGGTCTCCTCCCAACATGGCCCCTGCAGGAAAAGCAGAATCATCATGAGCTGTCAGCCCTCCTCCTCCCAGAGTGTGTGGGGCTGAATAAGAAGAGATCCCAGGAGGAAGTGCCACACAACTAGGGGGAGAGCAATGCTGCATATGTGGGTGAAGGGCAAAACTCCCCAAGACCCCAGCACCCTTCCATCTCTCCACCTCACCTGCACCCTCACCAGCCCCCTCACCTGCACTGGCTGGCCGCTGGGGCAGGCCGGGAGACACGCTGTTCCTCTGTAGTGCTGGCTGCTGAGGGGACAGGAGCCGTGGGTCCGTCAGGGATGACGTCACCAGGGAAGGGGTGACCAGGGAGCTGCTGGGGTTGCTGAACTGCAAGGAGCTCTGGTTGGACACGGGCACCGTGACAGGCATGGCAAAGTTGGGGGCCGGGACTGCTGACTAGACAGAAAGATGGAGGGGGCACGTTAGTCTGGGCCAAGCCCTACCCTCGGCCCACAATGCCTCAGAGGGAAGGCAAGGGTTTCTTTGAGTGTCCGGGCTGCCCATTCTGGGGCTGGCAGCTCCAGCTCTCTGCCCTGGGCCCTCCTGGAATCCTGCCTGTCACTCCCACCAAGGAGGAACACCAGTGGGGATCCAGCTACGGCCTCGCTGCACACAGGACCAGAGACACTCCCTAGTGGAGGTGGGTTAGTCCTCAGCCAGGCAGGACACACAGGGAGCAGGTTAGAACCCTGAGGACAGACCTCAAGTCACACACAGCAGGGAAAGGCCTGCGCCCCACCTCACTGCCTTCCCCTCAACAGTATGAGTGCCAGAAGCTGGGTCATCGTAACAGGCCCAAATGGGGCGATGGGGGTCCCAAAAATGAAGTTGGAAAAGAGCACGTTCTCTATACTCCTGTCTTCTCCACACACATCTCATGGGGGCGGGGGTGGGGTGCCAGCAACAGGCCCCTTCAGCCCACATGCCCCTCCATCCCCCAGAGGGTGGCAGGTTCATCATGGCCGAGGCAGGGGGTTCTTCAGTGGTCACTACAGCCCCAGCATGGCTCAGAGCAGAGCAGCCATCCGAGGCAGCCGCGGGCCGGGAGCCAAGCCACACCATGCACCACAGGGAGGCTCTCCTCCATGCGACTACTCACGGCCAGTCTATAACTCTGCATCATTTTATCAAACTCCTCGTCTATCTTTTTATATTTCTCCTCCGTCTGGGGGGTCAGGGCAAACACCTCGTCCACCTCGGGGCTCTCACATTCCCTGTGCTTCTTGTGCAGCGCCTGGGGGGAGGGGCCGGAGGGGGCCGACAGAGAGACTATGAGTAGGGCTCACCCCGTAGCGCCGGAAGAGCCCGTCCAGCTCCTCGCTGGCGCGCCGGTACTTGTCCTCCAGCAGGGGGCTCTGCTCCAGTGAGTCCTCCCCGTCGGGCTCCGGGCTGTCGCAGCCATTGAAGCCCTTCTTCCTCAGGGTCTGTAACCGCACAGCAGGCCGAGGGTCCTCCCAGCCCCACCAAGACCCATCCCCACCCATTCCCCAGGATTCCAAAAGGGGGGGGGTGACCCAGCATCTCCCAGTCCTGTCCCTCCCACCTACCAAGGGCTCTGCATGTTATTCGGGGGTAACATTGTTGGGGTGGCTTGGCCCATCCCAATCCCTGAGCTCTGCTGGGAAGAATGGCAAAAGAAAGGCAGAGACAGAGTAACTGGAAGCAAAGAGGGAACCAGCTGTTATTGAGCTCCTCCTGTGTACCACCCATATCTTCCCTGCCAGAGGTCAGTTTCTCCTAGACACCAACCACACTGACCTGAACAAAGTGGGGGGGAACATGGTACGTCTGCAACTGACCCCAAACCTGCCCTCTCCAATGCTAGCTTTGTCTTCAAAAAACAATGTTCAATTGTATATTCTAGCTAGGGTGATTCTGTTTTTTTCTGAACAGAAACCTCTCCAAACCTCTGGTGCAGCCTGTGGCTCCCTGGGCACCCTGTCTGTGGCACAGGTTGGGTAGCTCAAGGTGCACACCTCTTGGACCAAGGGCAAGCGCTGGTCATCTCATTCTATTCACGCGGTGTCCTTTAAAGCATGCATGGGCCCAGTTCGAGGAGGAAGCATTATGACTAGAGAGCCCAAACCACCTGCCCAAGGCCACGTGGCCGGCCAAGGCTAGAGCTGAATTCCAAGGCTCATGTCCTTTAGCAGTTCACAATGACAACTCTCTTTGAAACAGCAAATGGAGCCACTCTGGGACCCAGAAAGGGACAGAGACCCAACAGAGAGGTGAAATGGAAACAAAGAGGGAGGTAAAAAAAAAAAAGGGGGGGGGACAGACCAAGAGAGGGAGAGGGGAAACAGAGAAAGGGAGAGGGAGACGGAAGACAGAGCACCTGCCAGACAGAAGACACACTTTCAGAGAGGACAAGGCGACAAGAGTGGCTCTGGCCTGCTCCTTCCTCCTCCTTGGGTTGTAAGGGTCTGTGCACAGAGGGAGCACTCAGACAGAAGGAGTGCGGGTGTGCATGCATGGGCGAGGCCACGCGTGTGGACGGGGCCTACCTCAATGATGTCAGCGTTGGTACGGCTCTCGTGCGGCTCGTTGTACTCAGTGTACTTGAGCAGCACCTTGTCCATGTCGGTGCTGGCATACTGGAAGAGCTTGTTGGAGTGGTTGAAGATGATGAGCGCAATCTCACAGTCACACAGCACGCTCAGCTCGTACGCTTTCTTCATCAACCCAAACTTCCGCTTGGTGAATGTCACCTGCAAGGACGGCAGGGTGGTCAGGCCCAGGACAGTCAAGCTCTGCCAGGGACTATCCACCTACCAGGCAACTGGCTACATGGTCCCTGCTCATGGGGTGCTGGCATTCTCAGGATGACAAGCCCTGCAGTCAAGTTCTCTAGCTTCAGGAGGGACAATATAGCACCCCTTTACTAACACTCAGCCAAGACACAGCCTAGAGTCAACAAACTGCATGGAACTAATTTCCAGGGACCAAACTACTCCACTATGCTGGGTCTTTGAAGAGATCACTGGGAGAGAGAAGGGTTTTCTGGGGCGAGAAGAGGGGAAGAATTCCCCTGGGGATATAGGGATGCTCAGACATGGCCTAAATTTTCATATGGCTCCAGAGTGGGGACACGAGTCCATCTGGATGTAGTGGCAGATGAATTTAGGAGTCCTGGGATGCAGGGTTCCAAGAGCTGTTGTGAGCTGGAGAACCTCCCAACTCAGTTCCTTCCTTTTTAAGAACAGCTTTGAGTGTTCCTCCTCTTCCAGGGTGCCTTCCTGGAGAACTTGGAAGGGGATAGAGGCAGAAGGCAGCAGCTCTTTGCCCTTGCCCACTCTGTGGGACCTGTCAAGACTTCTCACCTGTCGGTTCCGCTCATCAGTGATTCGCTGAATCTGAATCTTTTTCCTCCCCATCTTCTCTGGGAGTCCTCAGTGCTAGGGAGGGGAGGAGCTTGCTGGGTGGCAGGTCTCAGCACACCTCACACTGTGCTCATGAACAATCCAGAGCTAGTGCTCAATTCATGGTCTGGCGGACACCTTCTGCACAGCCTCCTATGGGGGAGCAGGAGAGAAGTGAGGTCCTGAGGAGACTGTCAGCCCTCATAACCTCCAGCCTTGCTCCCTGATCCCCCTGGAAGCAGCTGATGGCACTTGAGTCCCATCTGTGAGATGGGCCTCCAATGACCACCTGAACAATGGCATGCCATGGCAGGCATGAGCCCAGACGCTAGTCCACACTCTGCACCAAGGCTACCATCCCAGGCTCTGGGTGAGAAAGAGCACGGGGCATACTCTGGCCACCAGAAGTCTAGGTCTCAGAGTACGCCCCATGATCCTCTCTCCCCACAGTCTACAGGCCTCTCCAGCTACCCCTCAGGCTCAGAATTCTGGTTCCTACCCCAAAACCCGGAGTGTGATGGGTGTGCTTAATGAGCACCTGCCCAGTCTGTGAACAGCAAGCCCAGCACTGCTGGGGCTAGGATAGTGTTTCTTGCACATCCTAACTCCAGAATATACTAGGGCAGTGGTCCTCACCTTGGCTCAGGGGGCCACCAGGGCAGCAGCACCAGCTCCCTTCAGCCAGAGCACCAATCTGTCTGATGTGGTAGATCTGGGTCTGAAACTGTTGTTTAAAAAAAGGGTTCTAGGGCTGGTGCTGTGGCACAGTAGTGTAAGCCTCCACCTGCAGTGCCAGTACCCTATATTGGTGCTGGTTTGAGTTCCACTTTTGATTCAGCTTCCTGCTAATGTGCTTGGGAGTCAACAGAAGATGGTTCAAAGTGCTTGGGTCCCTGTATGCACATGTGAGACCTGGAAGAAGCACGTGGCTTCCAGCTTTGGACTGGTCTAGTTCTGGCTTCTGCAGTCATTTGTGGAGTAAACCAGCAGGTGAAGATTTCTGCCCACCCCCCCCCCCCCCCGTAATGCTGCCTTCCAGAGGGGGAAAAAAAAAAAACAACCCCACATCTTAAGGAAAAAAAAATGTCTGTTGCACACAGAACAATGAATTGGGGCTGCTGTTGCCTGCAATACTAGAATCCTACACAGAAACTGGTTTGAGTCCTGGCTGCTTCACTTACAATCCAGCTCCCTCCTGATGTGCTGGAAAAGCAGCAGAAGATGGCTCAAGTGTTTGAGCTCCTGCCACTCATATGGGAGGTCTGAATGGAATTTAGGGGGAATGAACCAATGGATGGAAGAACATCCTCTCTCTCTCTTCCTTACTTTACCTTTCAAATAGCTAAATGAGTCTTAAAAGCAAAAGCACTATTAAACAAACTATCCCTCTAGACCAGAGACCATCAACTAAGTTAGAGAGGAGCCAGTCAACAGAGCAGGTTGTGCCAGCCATCCCGCCATCCCTGCCATAACTCCACTGTGACATGAGAGCAAGCAGCCAGCCACACGAAGGCCAACAGGCATGGCTGTGATCCAGGAAGACTGTATTTACAGAAGTGGGCCTGCCCCATATTAGGCCCACAGGTCATAGTTTGTTGTCATTGGCTCCAGAGAAATGGACCAGTTCTGGAACCCAAGCCCAGTCTGAGTGCAGTGTTTCCCAGGGACCTGAAAGGACACATGACAACTGACACACATGGACAAGGTCACTAGCAGCATCTGACAGAGGGGTCACCACAGCAGGGTCCCGGTGGCATATTCCAGGCTCACAAGATCAGGACAGGACGGGAAACAGAACCCCTGCACTGTATAACCCCAGAAGGTACTGCAAAATGGGGGAGGGCCCAGATGGCCAGCCAGCCAGAATCAGAAAAAATGATGGTCTTGGCCGTGGGCAGGTCCTGTGTGGGCTGGGTTGAACTCTCTGACACTGGGAGGATTCAGGGTGCAGGTGAGGGGCAGGAGACGACCTCAGGGGCCTTCTAGCTGGGTGATTCTAGGAATCCTGGCATCCAAGGTGGAACTTTCTGGAAGATGGAAGGCAGTAACTACAGGGCCCAGGCTTTCTAAAGCCACTCCAGTTGGGGCGTGGGAGGAAGAGGCCTCCCCTCCACATACTCCCTGCCCTGAGACCCAAATACAGAGTCCAGGGAGGCAGCCCTCAGCCTGTCTGGCCTCCCAATCCCGCTCAGGGCATTACTGGGCTGTCTAATGACACAGACCCCTCATTCTCACTGCCAATAGCCCAGGAGCCTTCCCAACCCCAGTCAACATGGCTCTCAACACACCACAGTAGATGGCAACGTTGAGTGTTGGCAAGCCATGGAGGGAAGGGAGTACAGAGGGCAGGGAGACTGTGGACTCGGGGAAGGTGGGGTCCAGGACTGTCCCCCTCCATCTTCCCCATTATCAGACCTGTCCCTTGGGCTTGGTTAGCTACAGGAGGAGTGCAGGGCACCATCTCAGCACCCTGGGCCTCCTGCTGTCCTCACGCATAGCCCCTCCCCTTCCTAGGACTGCACTGGTGCCAGCCCAGCCAGTTCTGGGTGACCCAGGAGTCACTTGGGCCCAGAACCAGCTCATCACCCCACTGGCTGCCTGTGACCCCAATCTCTGCCCAACTCTCAGGGCCATGGCTCCAGACCAAGGCTCCCAGAGCTCCAGTGCCGCAACATGAGCTGTGGGGCATGAGCCTGCCGGGCAGGCTGTGAGGAGTCGGCTCTTCAGTGGGCTCCCTGGACCTGGCCTCAGCAACACACTCTAGACCAGCAAAGGGCAGTACTGCTGGATTCCTCTAGCTCACACTGGCTCCATCTCCTCAGCTCCCCATCTCTCCACCTTTCTTCAGGAGCAAATTCCTACCAGCAGCAACCTCTCTCAACTCAGTCACTTCCTGGTCACCACAGTTTCTTCCTTAAGCTTGGGAGAGAACCTCCCCTTTGTTCTCTGGAACCCCCTCCCCTCCCAAAAAGCTACTCTTGGCATCTCTCTGGTGTTTAGGACTACATAATGCCCACCCTGTGGGCTCCTGCTTCGCGTCAGAATGCATGAAGATGAAGCTTGCTGAGGGCAGGAACCATCCGTATAAGCTTCTCGCTACTCTGTCCTCTGGGAAAGAGCTCAATAAATGTGTCTCAGTAGGCAGGAAAGGTTGTGAGAAGTCCTTCCCACAGTCTAATCTCAGCCAGTCCCGCCACAGTGACCTGCTCCTCTCATTCTACCCTCTGTGGAGTCGGAACCCTTCCTCTCCCAGCTGCCCTTGAAGTTTGTCCATTTGGGCACTATCATCTTCCAGACACCCCTGCCAGCCCAGTTCTCAGCCCTCACCACCCCTGGGTTGGCGAGTGCAGAGGGTGAGACTCTAAAGTCTTCTAAGGAGCAGCCCTGAGCACATGGAGATGGAAAGGATGGGGTTGCTTAGGCAACTGTCGCCTGGCAACCAGCTCCCTGGCTGATCTCCTACACCGCCCCCCCCCACCCCCGCCTCATGCTGGGGGAGCTGGGATGCAAGAGGGATCAGGACTGAGAAGGCAGGGAAACCACAGAGACCCACTGAGTTTTCTCTGACAGAGGAGAGTCAGAGTGCAAAGACCGCCAGGCTCGTACTCTCCCAGGTAGCCTGAAGTACTTTTCCTGATGCCATGGGCTTCATGGGGGGCCTTTCCCCACAGAGTGCCTGTGCTCTGAGCCAACACTGGCCCTGCTTCTGGCAGTCCTTCCACCTATCTAACCACAAGCTGTCCTGCACAGCAGGATTCCCAGGCCTCCAGGCCCTGTGCCACTCACTCCACACTGCTGCAAGGGTCTTTGAAAGCCCCTGGGCAGGAACACAGATTCAACCCTGACTTTGGAATAGGGGTGGGGGTGGGGACCTAGAGATGGGCACAAAGGACCCTAAACAGATTCCATCCAAAGCCTGCCCTGTCCAAGCTTCCCTCCTACCCAATTAAGAGAGATTTTAATGAACACCTGGCCCTCCTTAATTAGCCCTCTGCCTAATTACCTACCCAACTGCCAGGAGCCAGAGGCTTGGGCATCTGTTCTCCAGATGTGCGCTCTTCTCCCCAGTCTGGCCTCATCCATTCCTCTTCTCCCTTCTGGCCTTTTCCTCCTCCTGGAAGCCCCCTCAGATGAGCCCACCCTTGGTGGTGTCTCTAACCCCTTCTCACCCTGCCTTGTATCTGGAGCCCAGGCTTGGGAAGGCTCAGGCTGCCACAGGGGCCTAGCCAGCCTAGTCTTCCTGCTCTGATGGCCCCAGGGCCTGTCCTATCCTGACCTCAGGCCACAGCTGGGACTCCTTGGGGTGGCAGTACCTGTGTCACCAAAAGTACCCCTCTTGGGGATCCAGCTGCTAGATTCTGATTCACTCAGCTTCCTACCCAGGGCAGGGCAGGCCAGGGCAGGGCCGGGCTGGGCTGAGCCGACCTCCTGGGGGTGGGGGCTGGGGCAGGCAGGGGCAGGGCCTTCCTGATGGAAAAGCAAGAAAGAGGGCAGCTGGGCTGGCCCAAGCGGCTGTCTGTGGGTAGCGGTGGCCACAGAAAAGCCTTGGCAAACAGAAAGCAAGGAGGACTCAGGGTAGGAGGCCTATTGGACAACACCCTGGACAAAGGGGGAGGAGCTGAGGGACCAGTGACTGCATCAATCCACAAGGACCCCATGGCCATGTTCCCAAGCTGGGCTAAGACCCAAGAGGAACCTGTGGGCATAGCTGCATGCAAATGGGGCACATCTGACAACAAGCACGGAGTTCTCCCAAGGGAGACGGGTTTGGTGGGGGCTTGGAAGCAGCAGTGAGCCACCTCCCCCACAGTGACACCTCTTGGTACCTGAGCAATATTCAAACCAGGCTTGGGTTTCAGAATGATGCTATCTCAGTTCCTGTGTGAGGGTGACCGGGGCTAGCAGGGAGTGGGCTGTGGGGAGTCGCCCGGGCAGCTCCTCCCCCCCCCCCCCCCCCCAGAGCTGGAGCTGCAGCAGGGCTGTCCTTTCTGGGGTAGCTGCAGCGGGCCTCAGGTGTGAACCTGCAGCACAGCCTCCACTCTGACTCTGGCCTTGCCTTTTTCCCTACCCTGGCCCACCCATCCATCCTGATGTCCCTGAGTACAAGCAACACAGGGCATGTGTCCCCAGGGTTCCTGCATGGGTGCTCAGAG